CCATATGCGTGTGCTCAATTTGAATCGGGTGCCCGAGTGAAGCTGAAATCTCTGTCTGAAACCCGATGTGAATGATCAGAACCAACTTCTCGCTGAAATGCTGCCCTGCCCATGTCTTAAAACGAGAAGCAGACCGAGTCATAAGTGAACGCGACAGCCCTTTCATCTGACGTATCTGTATGACTCCTGAAACTACCCGGAACACACCCGCACACCCTTGTACCTACTTTGAAGACGTTGGAAAGCATCGCGTATCGCATGACATCCGAATCGCCCGGGGTATGAGCGATGGTTGCGTGTAAACTAGTCACTCGAAGCGCGGATGTCATGGCTCGATGACCATCCCCGCGCGTGCCATTGAGCTCCGATGATCAGATATTGTCTGGACTGTTTGCGTGCATTCTTGCGTCATCGACATAACCCCGGCACTTCCTTAATAATTTGCGGATCCCGGGCAATACAGGGCTGGTGAACACATTGTGTTTGTCGATCAGATTGAAGACGGTCTGAGTGTCGCGGGCCTCCTAAGCAAACCATTGTGCTTTCGCAGATGCGCCGGGCTGGGAATTTTGTTGTGACGACGCTGGTGACGACGAACGAGCCACAAGCACCGTCTTCAACTCTACAAATCGTGTACACGCTGGGATCTGCTCCTCACACGTAATCGGATCGTCCTGAATACAAATGATCAAGCAGTCCCACCAGTCTGACACACCTTGGATTTCGCGAGGAACTGCCGCCTATGCAATGACCACATGCGCTGCTAACATCTGGCGCTCGTTTGTTCCGGCAGCAGCTTGATCAACATGATGAGGGCGTGACAGGCAACGCAACGAATCTGGTGTCCAGTAGTGCGTCGATGGCAACAATTGAACTTCGTGCTCCTGGTCCTGCTTCTTCTTTACGCGTTATCTGCATCTCATTTCATTCATTCAATCACCACCAATTAGGCGACCCCAACAACCTTCGAAACAGTGCCTGCTCAAACGATGCTTCGACTATTGCCCTGGTAAGAGCCACCCATGACTACATCACGAGATGGCATCCTGCGACATGCGTGGACGGAGCCTCTGCCGAGCGCCAGGCCGATGCACCTGTCTGCGGTGCCAGCGAGGGGGCACGGCTAAACTCCTGTCCGGAACTCGGTCACGCTCGTCCTCATCCTGCTCCTGTCCCTGCTCCGTCGCCCGTCCGCACCGCCCCTCCCCTTTCCACCACCTCTCCCCCCTGCCTCCCCTGCTGCCCTGCCTGCCGGCCCTCAGCCTCCCTCCTTTCCTCCCTCCCCCCTCCCTCCTCCCCCCCTCTTGCTCGGTCCTCCCTTTATTCCTCCTCCTCCCTCCCCCTACATGCCTCCCTTCCCCTCCCTCCTTCCCCTTCCCTCCGTCCACCTCCGCCTCCTCCCTCCCCTCCCTCCCGCCCTCCGTCACTTTCTTCCGGCATCCTTCTTCCCTGACTCCTCCCTCTCGCCTCTGTCCCTCACTCCTGCCCCCCTCCGTCCAATCTGCCCCCTCCATCGTCCTCGCCTCCCTCCCCCGCGCTGCTCCTGCTCCACTGCACCAATAATGTGTTGGGTGGCGAGGGGTAAGAGGTGAAGGAGGGTTCTGGGGCCTGGGTGAGGGACTCGGTATCCTCACACCAACTCTAACGAGGACAGACAACCGACCGCCCGTGCTGCCCCCGAAAAGGCCGATCCGAATACGCTCCGACGCTGCGCGGGGAATGGGACTTACCAGGCCGATGATTCCGCTCTGGACCAAATACAATCGAAACAGGGTCACGAGAACGTGGATCAAGAACATGGGTTGGGTCGGGCATGTCCTCCTACAGGCGGATTTCTGTTTGGGGGGGAAATATAAAACATACAAACAACAATACTCATACATATTCAAACATCATCGACACATCTTCTCCAGACTATGTTTGGGCTATTCTAGAACATTCCTCCTGTAGAAGGGACATGACCGACGTAAAACAGGTCAGGATAACGTGGATCGAGAACATGGGCCCCTTCGCCGATAGCCCAAGGCCCCAGGGCAACATCCCAAACGAAGAGCATTCCATGGTCAGGTCGGGCATGCGATGCGATGCGATGCGACCACCGTTGCGGACAGCGTCCAGGCCTAGAGCAGACCAGGTGGGTGAGGCCATGGCCTCTAGGATCTGAGGTGTCTGGATACATGCAATGCGAGACATAGAAAAAGTTAGGAGGGGAGGGGAAGGAGGAGGAAAAGGAAGTCCTCCTGTGGGGGGCAGCGATATGGGGTCAGCGATAGGGGGGACTGGCATATGGGGGGCAGCGATAGGGGGGACTGGCATATGGGGGGATGAATCGACCTGGAAACGGCGATACATCGCCGATAGATTGGCGATAGGCCTCCGAAAGTGAATCCAAACCTGCCTGGGCTGGTTGGGACTATCGGGCCCCTATCGGCATCAATGGGCGATTGGGGGTCGATGCATCCCCCCTAAGCCTATCCCCCCTATCTTTGCCCCGATCCTACGGGGGGATCTTCAACGAAATATGAAGCATAATCAAACCAAACCAACAATGATTTAGAAATGCTCAAACAATCGTCCCCAGACTTTTTCCTTTTACATAAATACACACACACTATTTTGAATATTCCTCCTGTAGAGGGACGTGCCCGACTCGATTACAAGGTGGAGAGCCCAACGACGAAGAGCATAATTAAGGGTATCCCTCCGACAATATGACTGTTCTTAGCCCTCGTGCCAACTGTACTGCACAATGATCTTCATGTTGAAATTGAAACTCTTTCCGGCCAAAACCTTGCGGAGATCGCGCAATGCGGTGATTTCGGCCGTCATGGCTGTGGCTGTTGAATCGAACGGTATTCTTTGTGCCCTCTGCCTCAACACATGTTTAGGGCCCGCGCGGGCTTCTCGCATCGGCGCTGGACGGACCTTCCCGGCGCGCCGATCCAAGAACCCGCGCAGACCACTCCGACAGTTTATGCTCACTCCAGTTCTTACGCGGCTCTGGATCTGGGCGCCTTTCCAGTAACTGAGGACCAGCCTTTCATCCAGAATCGCTCTTCGACGGGTTCGGGGCCCCTGGAGGGCCCGACAAATTGCTGAAACAAGCGAAGAACCCAGCATCCCCCGATGCTATGCTTCAAACCGCAACTCCAATTGTCTGTCCGTGGTACATTCTTGATGGCCCCGGGGCCTGATCACGGGCCCCGGATGCCGACATCTGGGAAAACCCCAGGATAGGCAAGCACCGTGTCGTCGACCGAACTTCCCTCAAGGACCCGCCTGCCTCACGGCGCGAACTGGCGGCCCCAAGACCGTGTGGCGACAGACCGCACGGTGACCTCGAAATCAGACAAGACCTCAACGCACGGTCCGTCACCGCACGCTTTTGGGACCCTGGAGGCCCCGGTTGCCCGAGACATCCTCGGAGACCGATCCGAAACCCAAAACCGTGCGGCGACCCCGAATCCGCACTGACTCACCGCACGGTCTGGTCACCACTGACACCGTTTTGGGCTCCCCGATCTGGCCGATCTGTCGGCGGTGCATCGCCGATCCCAGGCCAGCGTTCCCCCCCGAGCTGGGCCCCCCCGCTGTCGTCGCCGCCCATCTCCTCGCTGGGGCGGGGTGGCCCCACCGACTCGCCACACGAGGCGACGCCCTGGGCACTCTGGGCTTCGGGAGAAGGCATGTGCGGGACCATTGTCGCCTCGCTCTGAACCCCCCGACTGGCCATCGCTCGGACGTCCATTTCCCGTGCACTTTCCGGTCTCGTGCGTGTTGTTTGTTGCTCGATGGTCCAGGATGGTCCAGGATGGCTCTCGCCGAGAAAAAAACGCACACGTCCGAGCGATGCCAAGCCTACGTCGCCGCTGTGTTGGCCACGCGTCGGGGGGCCCCGAGAGGACGGCGAGGCCGCGCGGCGCTGGGCGGCGGCGACGCCCGCCTCGCTTCGAGCCCCTGCCGGGGGGCGCCATCGCGCCCATGGCCGCGAGGGGCTCGGGCACCTTGCCGCCGCCGGGGCCGCAGCCGCCAAAGCCGCCGACATCGCCGCCGCTGACGCCGCCGCCGCCGTCACCGCAGCCGCCGCCGTCGTCGGCGGCGGAGGCGTCTTCGTCGGCACCGTTTTTCTATTCATTGGGCCGGACGGGCAGGGTGCGGGAGGGGTCGACGGGGAGGGAAAATGATGGGGGAGGGATGCGTCCATGCGAGCGGGAAACCGACTCGGGTGAGCTGGACCGAAGGCGCTTCACAGTGCATCCAGGACTGAAGCCGAAGCCAACGCTGAAACGCACAGAACAGTGGCAAAAAGGCCCACCTTGCAGGCTTGGTTGGCAACACATTGTTGAACAGTGCTGCAGCCTCTTATGAACATAGCCCCCCCCAGAGCATCAGCCAAACAAGTTGGGTGTGCACCCTCATGCGCTGCTGGACTCTGGGCGCGTTTCGGCGCTGCCACTACATGCCACTGCCGCCTCCACTTCCAAGGGGGGGCAGCAAGAGAGGAGGGACAGGATGGGAGGACGGAGAAAGGGGGGAGGAGGGAAATGGGGTAGGATAGGAGGGGGGGGTGGGGGGAAATGATGCAGGTAGGACGAAGAGGCGGGACAGACGGAAGGACGTGGAGGGGAAATGGAGGGAAGAATGAGAGGAGGGCGAGAATAATTGGGAATGAAATATAAAAAAAAGGGTGGGGAAGGGGAAACGGAGTAGAGGGGAGTGGAGGCGGAGAAGGAGGATGAGAGGGACGGGGGGGGGGACAAAGCAAGGCGGGCAGCGGGGAGGAGGATGGGAAAGAAACAGAGGATGGGGACGGCAACGGGTAAGGACAATATTGGTGCGCTCGCGCCATGTCTGACCACATAGTCCCCCACCCACCCCGAGAGCGGACACCAGCAAGACTCGCTGGAACGGAGTGCCGGCCATCGTGCAGGAGGGCACCAGATCCACAGATCGAGGAATACCCCCTCCGAAACATTGTTGTTTTGTTTCTTTTTGCAGGT